CGTATTTGTGAATCCCCCAGCCAATTTGATGGCTCAAGAATTAATGCATTAAGATGCGCCAACTATATGTAATCTGTACGACATGAAATTAAAAGGTGCCCGCAGATGGTATTGGATTTATTTGGTCAATGCAAGATGAACACAAGGGAAGAAACTATTGCCAAGGGCAAGAAAAGAATGTGCAAAAAAAGTGTTTCTTCATCAATTTGCTATATGTGCCAACTCTCATGTCATTAAAATGGTATCATGAGTTGAAAAAAAGGGTCAATACAAGGAAAGTTGATCAAAAACAGCCCCCACAAAACACTCAACTGAATAACTGTGGGAGCACTAATCAAAAGGAAAAACTGTGGGAGCACAAATCCTTCAGCATTCAAGAATCATAGATCTACGGTTTAATTACCAAACGATCATTGAATTCGGCCTAATCACAATAGGACACCTCAATTATCTTTCGAAATTCGTCTTTCGCAATACAAACATCTTAATCTGCAAAAGGGCATTCTTAATCTGGAAATACCAATACCAACTGGAGCTTTTGAATAATCAAGGAAAACCACAAGGGACATATTATTTCCTAATGAATTCAGCCTAAGCCAAAATACCAATACCAACTGGAGGTTTAATTACCAAACGATCATTGAATTCAGCCTAAGCCTACTTAAAATAGAACTCTCCAATTATCTTTCAAAATTCAGTCTTTCCACAATATGAACATTCTTAATCTGCAGCAAAACGACATTCTTAATCTTGAAATACCAAAACCAACTGGAGCTTTTGCGTAATCAAGCAAAACCACAGACATATTTCCTAATGAATTTACTATAAATTTCGTACCTGCAGCTCCATGCGCAAAATGGCACTTGCTCCCGAACGGGCAATACCCCGTAAGCTCCCACTTGTTACAAATCCTCGTCTTCCAATTCGAAGGCTTCACCAAAGACTGATTCACATTATTATTATTATTACTATTATTATTATTATTATTATTCCCATGTCCGGGCCCACCACCTCCGCCACTACCCGGGCCCAAACTGATGGCCACGCTCTCCCGAGCTCTCGACTGCTCATCGTGAAGAAACGAGCAGCTCTCACCATAAGGGCACCCTTCCTCTGTATAGAACTTCTTGCAATGCCTCCCTTTATAAGACCTCTCGTCACCAACTCCAAGAATCGGAATCTGATATTCCTCTCTCGGCTCGGAAGTTGCCACACGGTGGTCTTCATCGTGGGCCGCCACTATTTCTTGCCAGTTGGGCGGCGGCTTGCGAAGCTCCTCGATGCTGTGCGCGAAATTGCAGTTTGTTATGTAAGGACAAGTGCCGACTCTGAATTTGCAGCAGAGTTTTGTCTTGTAGAACATTTTACCGATGGCCTTGGATCGGTTCGAAGCTGCCAGGTCAGCCAATTGGGAATTTCGAGATCTTTTGTTCGGGGGCTCGCTGCCTGATCGGGTTTGGGAGGAGGGCTGAACTTCGTAGTTCGAATTGGAGTCTGTGTAAGGCTCGTTGTTGAACATTCCGTAATCGTCCTCGGTGGCCCACTCAGCTTCCCAATTTTCGGTACTGTTAATGTTCCGAGGGTTTCCGGAAAGGATTTGCACGACGTTTCCGCTAGAAAATCCGCTTTCTCGACGGTAATCCATGTTTCTCTTAAAACCCCCCACAGTCGATTTTATTCCAAAATTGTTTATTGTGTTTATGTTTCTTATGTTAGAACCAGTGGAGAAAACCCTAAATTTTTTTATTGAAGACCCACCTATCTAGCACTTCAATTGGTCCTCGAGAAATACAGAAAAAAAAGGACAAACAAATATTTCGACAGCAAATATGAATTACTGCAGATTTATAGCTTAGGATTGCAGCAATGTGAACACTTTTCAGAATCTTGTCCCAAATTTTTCTCAATTGAACAGTTCCATACTAAAAACCCAACGAATTAAGCAAGTGGGTCTGCGTATAAACTTGTAATAACCCCGTTTAAGCTACTCACACTGAATTTTCTTAAGTGGAAAGGATAAAAATTCAATCTTTCATTACCCAAAGACTATTATAAATACGAATGTGCGTACAGAACTACAGATGCACGTCCTGAAATAAGAGAGTAAAAAAGTTGCCCAAAAAAGTATAAGAAGCTAGATTACTTACCCAGACTGCAAAGGGTTTCAGATCTCACAATCTGAAGCTCGTACTTTTCCAAGGAAAATACAAGCAATATTTCACGGTGATGGATAAATTACAGTTTCTTTCAGAATTATTATTAGAACAAACTGGATTTTTTTATTATAAGACTGGAGCTTTATTCAAAGCAAAATGGAAATATATAGGAAGAAAATTAGCTTGGGAAAGAGATAATTGATGAAATTGATGTGTGCTCAGCGGTGAGGATGGCGAGGTGTTCTACGATAAAACCCATTTTGGTAGCAAGCACGGCAGAGACTATAGAGGAAAACAACTTGCATTTATAGTAGTTGATTTAACAAGAGTTTTGCTGTTTACTGCACCCAAATTTACTATTTATCCCACCCAAATATTTTTCTTTTGCCCTTACTAAAAAAATAATAAAAAAAAAATTCAATTTTTGATTTATTTTTTTTAACATTAAAAAAATTATAATTCTTAAAACAAAATGAATGTGGCCAATCAAAAAAATCAATCAACACAAAACTTACAAAAAAAAAAAGATTTCTTAAAAAAAAACACAAAAACTCAACCAAAAAATTCAAAAAAATCTAAAAATTAGCGAGACAATCCTCACGCACTGGGAAAGGGACTCTCCAATTNTATTTATTTATTTTTTTTGCGTTTTTTTTTTAAATTAATTAAAATAATTAGTAATAAAATTATATTAATATTTTATATATTTTTTAATTAATGAAAAAAATTGTAATTAATATATATTAAAAATTATAATTGGAATTAGTGTAATTATTGTAAATTATAATAGTAATTAATAATATAATTTTTTATATACTAATATAATTTATAATAATATATATTAAAAATTCTATTAGTAATTAATATAATTAATAGAAAGTATTTATAAAAAATTATATTAGTATTTAGTATTAAATTAATAGCATAAAATTATGTAAAAGAAAAAATTTATATTAGTATAAATTATTAATATATATGAATGTATTATCTTATAACGTAAAATTTATTGATATTACGTTAGAAGTTAGAATTGATTATATAATAAATTACAAATTACTATTATTATTTTGAAAGAAGTAATAATTCATTATTTTGTAAAATTATTAACATACATCGAGTGCCACTCGAAGATTTTGTAGGAGACGGCGAGGATTACCGATGTTGTTTCGCTACAGATGAGCTATTTGATAGTCATGAGAAAGCTATTGAATGGACAAAAAACATTACAATAATATGGAATTTCGAATTGGTCATCTCAAGACACGAAAAAGATGGAATGGTTCGGACATTGAGGTGTCATCGAGGGGAACGTTATAGAGGCAAGACAGGAAAACTAGGAAATTATGTGAATGCTGTTTTGAGACGTTCGAAGACTAAATTTACTGGCTGCCCTTTTCTAATAAAAGTCAAATTTGAAGCAAATTCAAAAAAATAGAGTATCTGGCTTCGTTTAGAAGACGAGAAGGGATTTCATAATTATGCTTTGGCTGTGCATCCCGAGGGTCATCGACAGATGAGCCGACTCAGCCGTTCATCCAAAGAGATTGTCCGTGATATGAGTGATGCTCAGGCAAGACCGAAAGCAATTTTGGCTGCAATTCAGGAGAAAAAACCCTGTGGACAACGCTACTTGCCGACAAGTGTATAACTATAGAGGTCAATTGCGAAAAGACCGTCTGGAGGGTACAGATGTTGCTGGCCAGCTTCTGCATTTGGCTAGGGGCAGCAATTACATAGTTTACACAGATGTTGACCCGGACACATAGGCGTTGACACGTGTGTTCCTGTCGCATCCACGAGCAGCCAGTCTATTCCGGATATATTAATGGTATGTCGGTATAGATTCCACGTACAAAACCAACAGGTATGTTACATTACGTTATAAATAGCAATATAATGTGAATCTTAAATAGTATGTTTGAGTAAGTTTTTTGATTCTATGTTTTTTCCTCTTGCTGCTTTCATTTGCACAGGTACCACATGTCGTTGGTTGAGATGGTTGGAATGACGCCGTGCAACAAGAACTTCTTAATTGCTTATGCAATTATCAATGACGAGACCGAGTACAGCTATGAATGGGTCCTACAGCGGTTGAGACTTCTGATAGGGCCTGATGTACATCCTTCAGTCATTGTCAGTGACAGGGAGTTGGGGTTGATTACTCCTATTCAGAGGAATTTCCCAACGACGCCCCACTTACTCTGCACGTGGCACATTAAAAAGGATGTGGAAGACAGGGTCTATCGAATAACGTCGAAAAATAAGATCTTCGCGCAGAAGTTCACACACGACAAGTGGAAGAAGGTTGTCGAGGCGAACACGTGGGACAAATACAAAACTGCCGTAACTGATATGGCTGTTACATACACGGCGTTTCCTCGTGTGCTGGATTATGTGGATAAGACATGGCTAGTGCACAAGGAGAAGTTTGTCACAGTGTGGACGGACACTGTCTTACATTTTGGCAACACAACGTCGTGTAGAGTGGAGAGTTCCCACGCTACGTTGAAGCGGTGGCTTAACACGTCGACCGGTTCGCTCGACACGGTTTGGGAGAAGATTGACAAGGAGATTGATTCTCAACTGACTCAAGTCAGGTATATTCTTTAAGTTATACAGTCAGACTGTGTTATTAATGCATTAGTTATAAATTTTAATTGGGTCTAATGTTATGTAATGTATTACCAGGGAGACGCTGGAGTCTTTGAGACTTAGGATGAGTACGGGCTACTGGAGATTCCCTTTCGAGCAGTTGAAACTGCGGGTCTCGCATTACTGTATGGATATATTGAATGATGAGCTTCAGAAGATGCGAGACTTCGGCAAAGATGTTTCAAAGCGCTGCGATTGTGCAGTAAAATACACTCATGGACTTCCTTGTGCCTGTGAGCTCAGGGAGGCACACGCTGTAGGTAGAGTGATTACGCCCGACAAAATCCACAGGTTCTGGAGCACACTAGAGGTGACGCAACCAGGTATAATTGCGAGATTAATAAATCTATAGAACGTCATGCTCAGCATTTTTTTTTTCTCCTAAATTTTGTTTAATTTTTTTTTACTCCACGAATTGCTTCATTTATAGAATTTTTGATAGAGCATATTGTATAATTTTTTAGATTTTCGGTACGGACAGGTCAGCAGAGTGCATCGGCGAGTGGATGGACTGATCATGATTATTTTCGGAGGCTTGCCGAGGAGGTTGAAGCAGCCGATCTTGTGACTGTACGGTACCTGAACCATCTCATCGACTCTCAACTTCACCCTGATCAACAGGGATACAGTGAAAAAGGCCGTACGGCGGGGCGTAAAAGCAGTTCTTCGTGTGCTCCATCGCAATCGGGGTACACGGAAACAGGTCGTCGGCCGGGGCGTAAGAGCACTTATTCGTGTGCTCCGTCGATGTGGGAGTACAGGGAAAGAGATCGTCCGGTGGGTCGTACAAGCATTTCTTCGTGTGCCCCGATAAGCTCATCGTCTCAAGATCCGATAGGTAATTTTATTTTATTTTTTATCTGAACGATGACTAATTATGTTTGTAAATTCAATTACCTAAATTGTGACGTGAAATTATTCTGATATTATAGATACTTTTAGACGGATTTCTTTCAATACCGACATTGAGGTAGGATTTTCTACGTAGTTCACAGCTACGTACAGAGTTATCTGGATTTGACGCCGGACGGGAACTGCGGATTTCGGGTGGTTGCGAGTTACATTTATAGGGATCAGCAGAAGTGGCATGTGGCAAGAAAAAATATTGCAAATGAGGTTGCAGCCAACATTCATTTGTACGCTCCATTTTATTGGGATGGGTCGACGCCGCAATCGATCGTATAAGATGGGACGGGGGTCCTTGTGGCCAGGAGCATTGGATGAATGCTACGGGCGACCCCTTTGCTATTGCTACACTGTTTAATGCAGTTGTCGTGTTGTTAGGCTATGGTCCTAACGATAACAATATGAACATGGCCAGTATGACGATATTGCCGCTCCGCGCACCATCCACGGCTACACGACCTGACTGTGAGACCGTCATAGCTCATCTTGGTTCTTACGAGCACGTCATTTGTGTGAATCTCTGTTCTGATTCTCCATTACCGCCTTTGTGTTATTTTTCGGAGAGATACCGAGATGTTTCGGTTGAAGATTGGCCGGATCAGTACCAGAGCAGGTTCCAGTTGTTGCCTGATATTCGTACTGCAGCTGGAATTTGATATATTATGATATTCGACTTATGTTTGCGGTTTTTTTTTTAATTTTATTTTCATGCGTTACGAGTGATAGATTGTGATATCTCGCCGTGTTTACCGTTTCNAAAAAAAAAAAAAAAAATTGTAATGAATGAATACTAATTAAATTTTAGTAAACGACTTACATAATTGATGTTGGCGCGCGCATGGACAGCCTCGTCGTCCGCCTGAGTGTCGGGCAAGAGTCTAGGATGAGAATAACGCTCATACCATTGCTGGTAGTCCTCATGGGCCGCCCCTAGATCATCTGCGGTTGTGGGAGTAAAATCAGACAAGCTTACAGAATGCAGTAGCGGAACTGATCTCAGTGATCTACTGCAGCACCCGCTGCATGCTCAACCCTGTACATCCTAGACTTCCAACCATGAAATACAGTGATCGGACGATCCATGCGGGGAGGGATCGTCTGGACGTAGCCCAACTGACGCAAGAAACGCATAGGCATGTACAGCTCCACAATATCCCGGTACCTAAGGCATCCGGAGTAAAGGGTCCTAGGCTTCAGCACATGTGGGTTGGGGCCGTATGACAGCCAGTTTACCTGTTCACAATTGCATAAAACATTTATTCAAACAATTCGAGTATCCTAAATAACTTTCAAGTAAATGTAAATAAAATAACTTAACGTACCTCGGCGACTGTGAGTCTGTCAAGCTGCCTACGGAAATTCTTGAGGCGCTTATCTGAGTTATCTGGGACGGGGGTCCTCCACAAGGCTGATCGGGCCAAGCTGTCAGGCTCGGAGGCCATACGCGAACCGGCGGGTCAGAAGGTGGGAAAGTACTCGTATATCCAGGACTGCATGAGAGTCAAGCAGCCCGCCACTCCCCCCGACTCCCCCCGACTCCCCCCTGCTGGCCATACCTAAATGTCTGAATAGGTATGCCAGTGCGGCCGAGCCCCACGAGTAAGTCCCAACTCTCTGCAGGTCCTCCATCATCTCATGCAGAATTTTGGGACTGACCCTGTTACCACTCTTGTCTGTAAACAAGGTGGTAGCGAGCAACACCCACAGCCAGCCAATCGCCACATGCTCAGTCGACCGACCTGCGCCATTCTTCTCAAACGCAGTAAAAACGGCTTCATTCGTCACCGAGCCGTGACCCCAAAAGTTCACCATCAGCGTTGCCTGGTCCACCCCCAGGAGCTCCATGCAGTGCGCTTGTTGTGTCAAGCTGTCGGGGTCCCCTTTGACTACAGCACCGACGACAGGAACCCCTAATATGGCCCTCACGTCGTGCAGCATGATACTCATTTCACCAAAAGGCAGGTGAAACGAGTTGGTATCCGGCTGCCAGTGCTCCACAAATGCTGAAATAAGTGGAGTGTCGACGTGGTCATGCATGTTGGATGCCAAATGTGACAGCCCAGTCGGACGGATCAGATCTCGCGGAGCCTCAGCCATCTCTACAAACCACTCTCTCAAAAGTCAAAACACAGTTCGTTGCCATCCTATTTTGGCACTTCAACGTGCCTCTAACATGTCCAGTCCAAATCCGGGAGGCTACGTGCCCTAGAAAACTAAGGATAACACTCCCGTCAAAGGAGCCACCGGGTACTGGGGCTTTAACAAGCCAGTCGTCACACTTAGTGCGTTTGCTGCTCGCCCTTGTATTATAATAGAACAATCATTATATATACGACATCTGTGATTGATTGTATCAATGATGCGCTATTATTAAATAAAACAATATATAATGGTAAACAACAATAAATACGTAAATCATTTACCTGAGGATGAGGCAGCGCCCGTATAACGGCCCCTAGCCTGTCGTGGAGGATCAACTCAGCCGAGTCGTTTAGCTGGACGTGCCTGTGGTTGGGGCTGTGGCAATGGCAGTGGCTGTGGCTGCTCAGCTGCATTAAAGTCCGACTCATAGGCCTGCTCGTCGTCGTCATCATCAGGATCATGATCATCATCATCATCATCATCATCCCCCGGACTCCTGACTGCCGACTCATAAGTGGAGCCCCGCCGATGAACAATACGTATAGTCGGGCGACATCCAGAACTACTAGGCATCACTGACAAGGACTGCTGACCACTCGAACTGCTAGGCATGAGTTAGCCAGACTGCTGACCACTCTGGATCGGAGCAACGAGATATCTCGAACTACCAACCTGGGCAGTCTGTACCCTGCGAGCATGAAGGAGCATCCGTTCCCTCTCCCGCCGAGCGGAAGCATTCACATTACGAGTGGATGTGTGTCGGGATCCAGAACCCTCGAACTCGACAACATACTCATCAGCCTAAATCAAAAATCTTAAACTAATAACTAGTATACATATTAATATATTTCAAATATTAATATATTTGTTTCTTAATAATATATTATTAATATTTTTTCATTAATATTATATATAATAATATATATGAAATTAATTAATTAAATTTCTAATATTTATACATTTTTTAATTATCTATTATTTAAATATATATGTTTAATATATATAAATAACGCAAATAAATATATATTAAATATATATAAATATATTTTATATTTATAAAAATATATATATATTTTATATTTTATATTTATACAAATATATATATTTATAAAAATATATTTTTATTTATATATATTATATTTATACAAATATATATATATTTATATAAATATATATAAAATAAAATAAAAAACTATAAATTAAACTATATATTAAATAAATATATATTAAATATATATATATATAAATATATATCTATATATATTTTAAAAACGGAAATAAAATATATATATATATTACATATTATATATATATATTTAATAAATTTATATCTATATATATTTTAAAAACAAAAAAAAAATGAAATAAATTGAAAAACCAAAAAATATATATATTAAATTTATATATTATATATTAAATATATATATATATATTTAATAAATATATATCTATATATATTTTAAAAACCGAAAAAAAACAAAATAAATTTTAAAAAAAAATATATATATTAATATTATTTTTTATTATAAATTAATATAATTTTTTTATTATTTATATTCAAAATTTATAGAAAATATATATTAATATATTTATTTTTTTATTATAAATTTTTAATGTATATATATTAACATTTATTTTGATTTTTAAATTAAAAGAAAAAATCATGGTTGCGNACTTGCAATGAATTTTCAAACTTTCTCAACTAGACATTAGTTTTAAGTTATTTTTAATTGAAGTTCAAATTTTACATTTCAGTTCTCAATTTAATACTCCAACTAACTTTATATTTTTAAATAACAGTTTTGCAAACCAACAGTTGGCTCCATAGTGGAGCCAACCTTCTATATACAACAAGTAAACCATACCATATTAATAAAATTATTAGTATTATTTAAGTAATCATAGAATATGGTATGACTTACTAATTGTATATAGAAAATTGACTTTATAGCAAAACTATTTTACATAATTATGTAAAACAAAATACTATAATTTCAAAATTTATATTTAAATAATTATAATAAGTAGTCATAAATATCTTTAAATACTACCTCGGTAAGATAATTAATTCATTTAAGGCAAAAAATTAATGAAGTTTACTTTGAAATGTAAGTATTAAAGAAAAAATAATAATGTCTGATTTAAATATTATATTATTATAAAATATACATAAAATAAAATTATAAAATAAACTATTTTAAAAAATTACTCTATTTTTTATAATTAATATTATTTTAAATAGTATTAGTTTATAAAAATATTATTTTGAAAATATAATCAGAAACTATTTTTAAAAATTACTGTATTTTTTATAATTAATATTATTTTAAATATTATAGGCTTATAAAAATATTATTTTGAAAATATATTATCTGAATATTATTTTGAATTATTTTTATTTATAATATAAACTTATAATAAAATTAAAAATAAATTATTTAGAGTTATTCTAATTTTTTTTATAAGCTTAACTGTTGATGATGCTTAGAACTATGAAACTTAGATAAAATGAAATACAATAAAACAATAGTGAAGCTTAGGGGAAAAAAAACTATAATACTTTTTTAAATAATTTATTGGATATTTAGGTATCAATCAATATAATACTTTTAAAATTAATTTTTCCAAAAATTTTCATGAATGTAGCTTATATGAATTAATTTTCGTAATTTTACTGAGATATTTACTATTTCTTATGATAAGTATTAATTGTATATATTCTTAATTTTTTTTCAAAATATAAATTTAATTAAAGATAATAATATTTTTGATAATATTATTTAGAAAAAAAATATAAATAGTCTATTTCTAATGTTATTATATGTTTCATGTATAATAGTATTTCAATTATACATTCTTAAGATGTATTTTTAATTTTTTTTTAATTTTTAAAATAAATTTCATTAAGCTTTTGAATAAACGTAAATTATATGATTTAATTATACTATAAGGTAATATTACTAAATATATTTAATATTTTTTTATTATAAGTATATATAATATCATTTCAAAATAGTAATATTTTTGTTTTTATAATTATGTCAAAATATAAAATTAGTTGGAGTCTTATTGAGAACTATAATTTAAATATAAGTCTTCAGTTTAAAATAACTTAAAATTATTGAAATCCTAATTTGAAAAAATTGAATATTCAAACCCTATTTTGACAGAATACCAAAAAATCAAGCCTTATTTGGAATGTACTCGTAAAAAACTGCGCACCTAAGAATACTTTTTAAGTTTTGAAGTAATAAAAAATTGAGCAAATCCAAGTTTAGTCGTGCTTCAGTCATTTTTCTAATAGTCATTTATGAATAATGATTTTGAAAATCGTCCCGCATGTATGTAAAAAAGTTGCAATTTTGTTATCGACCTGTCGAAAAATTCGAAAGTTGTCGAAGTTGCACTGCCTCATCCAAAGTGGCTGAAGAAATTGTTGATTTGGAGACCGTGTAATTAAAATCTGCACCATCTTTTTGAATAAAATTCCAATTTTTTTCATTTTTTTATTTTCTTTTTATTTTTTCCTTTGATTATTTTTCTTATCCAATAGCCCTGTCTCGTCGTTGTCGCCGCATTCAAAATCCTTGCTGAGCGTATTCACCACCTAAGCCCCCTTTCATCCTCCTCGAATTCTTCCAATTCAAGTCCTTCTCCACCTTAAAAAACGAGGTTCTCCTCCGATGAGGCACCCACCTAGTCTATTCCTGCGGTCGCGTGAGTTCACAGAGTTTAGGCTATGTTGGAAAATTACGTCATACCTCATAACACAAAATTAATTGTCGTGAATTACAACAACCACCATTGAGTCGATCATAGCCGTTACCCCACCACAACCACGTAACCCCTCCCAAATCCAAAATGAAAATATCTTGTTGCCCACCGCAATTTGATGCAACGAGTAAATAGTGTAAATTGCAGTAAATTGCAAAAAAGTAAAAATAAATAGCATAGACCGAACTGAAAAGTAGCTCAACTTTTTACTCTTATATTACTCGAATGTTTATAATACAACTTAATTTGGGTCCCTCAATAAAAAAAGCAGATGCTATTTATAGAATAATACAGTAGCCCACGTAAGTTTTTGTAGGTGTAAGTCTGCATGGAAAAAAATACTTCTACAAACGACATGTGTCCCGACAAAGAGGATAGTAATTGTCTTGTCAACAGTCATTGGCATAATTGGATTGCATTTAATTGGATATGTCAGCTACTTGACATTTTAGGTTCCGCGACTTATGAGATGTACTGTCAGTGTCATATCTTCATTTATGAGTGTACAAGTACAACTGGATTACACTTTTGGCCAACTGGTTGGTTGGGTCGGTAGACTTTTTGTTTAGGAAGACAACTCTTGCTCGGTATCGGGCTAGCTTTAAAATACCTCATTTGTTTGGCCGGTCACGACCTTCCNACGTTGATGATGAACACATGTCACTTTGGGACGTATCAACTAGTTCGGCTATCAACAAATCCCAATATTCAAAAATCCAAAATAACTCAAACTCGCACTTGTATGTCATTGCTCTTTGTGTGTATAGTCAATTAATTCCATTATTAGATCAATATATGGTTTTGTGTGTATGTTAGAGGTATGTGTATATATTCATTTAATACAAAATGGTTTGTTGAAATAGGTTGCAAGGAGGATTTCAGCCTCAATCAAAGATTAAAATTTATGTCGACCACGGTTATTTCTCCAGTGGCAGTAATTTGTAGATCATGAGAGTAGCATTCTCAGCGTGTATGTATGGTGTAACCCACGTGGGCAACGACAAGCGACGACAGCCTCTTGGATTTGAATCGATCTAATCGGCTCCAGTTTTATTGAGGCTCATGCTGACTGCGGTGCCAACAGGAATGTCGACTCAAGTGAAGGAGAGAAAAGTTGAGAAGGAGAAAAAAGTTGAGGCTCGAGTTATGTTACCAACAATGGTGCTCTTGTGGATGAATGCATACGAAGAAAAAACGTGGATAAAAGAAAATATATTTAAGATTTATTTGAATAAATGACATGGAAATGTAAAAGTCCACATGGGCTCCAAAGAAGCGATTTTAGCTACCTTGAAGGAAACACATGTTTTTCCGGCTACACTTGCAACAATTTTTGTATACATACGTGACGACTTTCAAAACGCTATTCGTGAAAAATTATTATGAGAATTGCTAGTACATACAGGCCAAGATTGCAATTTTCTCTAAAAAAAATGTCAAGAGGTTTGATTATTTTTTGTATCGTTCCACAAGAACGAAAGATACACACCTTGTTAAACAAAATGAGTCGCTCGTATACTCAACTCGTTTTAATAAACTAGTCGAGCTTGACCTCGTTTAATGTAGCAGCAATCAGGGCCACTGTCACCATCAATACATCAAGAACCAATGCATGCGGGATAATCAAAAGTGTTACCCATAAAAAACCTTGTCCTCCAATCCCGCTTTCCCCTGCCCCTTCTCATCAATGGACTCCTGACGTAGTTTGATTAGTTTAACGAGCCGAGTCGAGCTCGATTTCGATTACTGGCTTGATTAGTTAACGAACTGAGCTGAGCTCGGCTTATTAAAAGCTCGAGTTCAAGTACTATGAGCTCGAACTCGACTCGATTCACTTACAACTCTAATTATTAGGTAAGTGTGAGAGTGTAAGTAAAATATTTCTTGATAGAATACTATTATTCGAATCTTTTCTCATCTGGATTTTATTAATAGAATTCAATTATTACTATTTTTAATAAATTATATTATTTATCTACTAATATGTTTTCTACCTATCCATTATTTTAATAACATTATATTTCCATCTTATATTAAATAAATTTTTATCTCAAACAAATAATATTCTTACCAACCCATCATCCAACAAAACATGCATGCTGTAATGGACCAATGATTTTTCAAATCAATCAAATACAAAAATAAATAATAATAATGATTTTAATAATACTAATAATAAATGGAAACCAAAAAAAGAAAAGAAAAAGAAAAAGAAAAGGCGTAGTGCGTGTGAGCCGCACGTCCGAAGATAAGTGCCTCAACGCGTGCCAACTCCTTACACGCTTCACTCGTGCGAATCTCTCGCCGTCCCCCTCGTCTCCATCCTCCGCCGCGTCGCCGCCGGGAAATTCCCCGCTGGCTGCGCGTATACAGTACGGCCTGTCAATTTTCACCCGGATTCGGTGAGTTCCGGCTAGATCTCCTCGGCCCTTTCCTTCTCCCGCGGTCGGGTTGATTCGTAGGAGTCTTGAACTCTGGATCTGCAAAGGAATGGTGTGAGATCTATAAAGTCATGTGTTAAACGACTACGGAGTAAGTCCATGATTCTTTGTTGAGCTTCTGTTGGAGCTGAATTTCGTTTGTCTGCTATGGAATTGCGTGTTCATTTTTNTGAATTAGGTATTTTTTAGTGCACTGTGTACACTGTAGCTCGAGATTGTACACTTTAGATGCTATCTGCTTTATTAATCCTCTTCTGTTTATTTGCCTGAAGTTGTTTTCTTTTTGGGTTATTTGTTCCTTTTTAATGGAAAACCATCCGAAGCAATTGATCTAGTTCAGTGAGATGACTTCCATATGGACTGTTATCTCTCTTTTGTGTTGTAGCAAGTAGAATATTTGGACATGTGCGAATGTAAACAGTGATGGAATTTCACTTGGAGAGAGAGAGAGAGAGAGAGAGAGAGAGAGATTTGAAGTCCTAAATCAGTCAAATGCCAGTGAACACATAAAATTTTAAATTTTATTTTAACTCCACCATATATAGTTCAAGAATCTCCTTTTACATATAATAAAAGAGCTTCTTTTTTCATGTACACTGGAGCATTTATTTATTTACTGTATCTGTATCCATTCTCTTCATAAAAGAGATTCCTGTATCTGTGCCAGACATTGTTGAGCTCGCCAGTAGGAGGAGCTCTTTACAAACACAGTCCTAGACATCCATTTTCCCGTGGAAAGCATGCATTTAATTGTCAGTATTCAAGACATAAAACGTGGAAACTCCACCAGGCCAATCAAATTCAGCAAGATCTACACCTCATAGAGAAGAAAATCAACTCGTGATCGTAGAAAACTGGGAACCTTTTTTTCTTTCTATGTCGACAGAAATGCATAAATTCGGCCCCAGCGAGGAAGATGATGAGGACATGGGTATGGATATGAAGGAGGAAGATGATGATGATGAAGACGATGATGAAGAGAAGAACGTGAGAACAACTTCTATTAACAGCTTGGATGTAGGCATTTTACCCACAGCTGGCGGTACCAACAGGTATGTGCATCACCAGCAATATCAAGACCAGCCCACTCCACAGGGAGGTGGGTCCCGAAGGTGTCGGCCTCAGGAAGAGAAAGAAAGGACAAAGCTAAGGGAGAGACAGCGGCGGGCGATCACTGCCAAGATTTTGGCGGGGCTCCGTAGGCATGGTAACTATAATCTTAGAGTTAGAGCTGACATTAACGATGTAATTGCTGCTTTGGCTAGGGAAGCTGGTTGGGTTGTTCTTCCAGATGGGACCACCTTTCCTTCCAGATCACAGGTACCCTACAGATCACTTTGGTTTTTCTGTAACTTTTGTCTTCTTGGTGATTCAGCATGGAGTAATGTTTTCTGTCATTTTTTTTTCATAAGTTTCATTTTCATTTTTTTAGTGTTTATTTATGTATCATGTCATATCACATGTACTTTTTCAGTTATTCCTGTGAACTCTTGTCAGACTGACTCAGAAAGGTCTGAAATAAGTTTTGGGTCCACAAGTCATTAGACAAACATAACTGTGGATGCAACTCAAAGTTCCGGAGGTTGCTCTAATGTTTCTTAAGAGTTAAGACTCAGAAAGGTCTGAAATAAGTTTTGGGTCCACAAGTCGTTAGACAAACATAACTGTGGATGCAACTCAAAGTTCCGGAGGTTGCTCTATGTTTCTTAAGAGTTAAGACTATCGTATTTTTAGTCAGTAACATCAATTTTCATATCTAAAGCTATCTGTGGCATGTTTGTTTGTCATGAAGAACTGTTGTAGCTGTAGTTTATGCAATTTAGGGAACTTTTCAGCGGAGTCTTACCCTAAACTACACAAATCTCCAGCCTGGGTTGCTTTCAACTGAAAAACCGTGTCTGTGTAGAATATTGTTTGATATGTGCACGGATTAAAGTAGAAATGCCAACAGTCTTGTATCTTTGTGTTCATAGAATTTTTTCTTTCTATTCTGCAGGGAACACGACCTATCACTGGTGCTCCAAGCACGGCAGTGCAACCATTATCTCCACAAATGCCAGCACCACACACATCTCCTACTGCCTTGAGGGGCATCTCCCCAGGGTACAGGAATACAGTCGATTATGGTGCATCTCACATGAAAGGTGTTTTTGTGCCTGTTTCATCTCCTTATGATGGCTCGTCGAGTGCCAGATCTCAGACATCCGCTATGATTGGGGACGGAGACCTGCAGAATGATCCTCTTCTTGGTGGCTCCATTGATTCAATCGACAACAGGCAGGCGAGACTTTTGGCTTTTCTAGATCGAGATTATAATTATTCTCATGCTTCGTGCTTAAAGCCTGTATGTTGCAATTCAGCTGTCTGATTAATTTTGTTTTATTTTCCGTTTTTGAAGGTGGTTGACATGCCACCAGCAACAAAACTACACGAGCGAGATTTTTTTGGGACGCCTTACGTTCCGGTTTATGTTATGCTGCCGGTGAGTTTTCCGAGTATTCTAATATATCACAGTTGTTTTTCTGTGTGGGGCTGTCTATCTCTACTTCACCAAATTTAGATGTGTTTGTTGTTTGTTTCTTGGCTTGTAATAAAGATAATAGTTTTAATTGATTTGGTTCAGTCAGGTGTCGTCAATATGAAGTGTGAGCTTGTTGATCCAGATGGTTTATTGGAGCAATTGAGAATCTTACAATCAATTAACGTTGATGGTGTTATGGTTGATTGCTGGTGGGGTGTGGTTGAAGCACATGCACCTCAGGAGTATAACTGGAATGGCTACAAAAGGCTATTTCAGATTGTAAGGGAGATGAAAATGAAAGTACAGGTGACCTTGTATATCATTGACTACTTATAAATTAGTGATTTCGTTTTGTAAAGTATTCCTTCTATTTTTTGCTTCACTTTACTTCCAAGTTCCAATATGGCTTAGTCTAAAATAAGACAAATCAAAGTGTTAGAAACTCCTTACTACCTCTCTTTAGGTTGCTAAATTGTAGTG